GACGTGTGCTCTTCCGATCTCCCCAAAACCCCAAAACCCCAAAACCCCATGAAGCGAATATTTAGAGGAAATGAAATTAACAGTGTTGTTTGATTGTTTGTATTTTAAAATTAATAGGATTATAATCATAAAGTAAATTAAAGCAATGTCTGAAGAAGTTAAAGCAGTTCACAGAGAGCCTCATCCATTCATTGGCATTCATCAGATTCATAATTTTGTTGGAAAGCCAGTTGCTTTTGTTGGCAAAGTCGATCGCTTTGAAGATAACAACATGATAATGAAAACAGCAGAAGGTATGTATAAAAATTAGCATAAAATCAGCTACTTAACAAAATTGCGCTAATGAATCTCAAAGCCAAACTGATCAGATATTAGCCTAAAAATGCCTTTCTTAGTAGACTAAGAATATATTTCATCTTTTCCAGAGAGAATTTGAACGAGAGGCGTTTAAAGGTTAATATCATGAATCAGAAGAGGCATGAGAGGATTTAGGGCACGATTTCTATAGATAAAGAAGTTAAAATTATCAAATTCAGAGGTGATTAAAATAAGATGCACAATGTTATTGAAGTAAGAGGCATTGTCAACAAGGATGATACTATCAGCTATGGTGAATTCACCTAATATGACAATGAATTCGGTAAGATAATAGCATTATAATAAATAAATTTAGATTTGACTACTTACGAAAGCATGCTAGAATACTATCATGGCATGTGCAGAGACCTATGTATCAGAAGTTGAGTTGAATGATTTTTGCAGTAATTGATGAGTGTTATTTGCTTGGTATTCAGAAGTTAATGCATGGTATATAAATAAGAATATATGAGTTTCTTGTATTTTATTAATTCTATAAATGCTAAAAACAATTAAAGTTTTCTTAAGATAAACTCTAAGCTTATCGCTTATTATGATTTTATTCTTAGCTATTGAGTTTTGTCATATTATAACATGAAATGAATGAAAAAATAAAAATAATAAAAAATTACTCCTCGTCCGGGAATTGAACCCGGGTCTCACGGGTGAGAGCCGTGTATCCTAGCCAACTAGACTAACGAGGAGGTACTGGTAACCTATGATTCTAATTTGTTTATAAGTATCAAACCAGTGTGATATTTGCATCCCGTGACTGTTCATTCAGGTTTAACAAACAACTGCTAATTCAAAGTTTATTATTAAAAATTTGTACAAATTCTATTAAAAATATCAATATACTTTAGAACATTAACTGCGAGATATATGGTTAAGAAACCGAGATATATTTAAAATTTAGGTGTTAAATAAGTCATCATAAATACTCTAGCATCTAACAGATCCTTCACATCTTTTAAAAGCGAGTATTTTTTATGCCGTTCTATTCTCAGTGGTGTGCATGAGCATTGCTGTCAATAGCACCGTGAACGCTGGTCCAGTTGTACTAGTATGCATTTTTGTTATTGTGATCATATGAATTGTGATAGCTTTTCCATACATAGGTTTGTGGATTGATTTGGTTAGAGTTAAGGTGATTATGCATATTAATATGAGCGAATGCATACTTGAGCTCTAGGTTGTTGTGATATGGAATAGGACTGAATGGATTGAAGAGATCGGGATCCACCTTTTTAGCTTTTGGCATCATGTCCCATTCCTTTTATTCAGCAGCTTTGCTTCTCTCGTCGAGCTTTGGTGAAACTACATAGACGTAGAAAGCACCAACTAAGGGGTAGAAGAGGAGATGACCAGCATAGCCAAGACGACCAAGAGCACTCAAGGGATTCAATTTAAAGCTCATTTTTATTTAATAATTATAATATTAACTCATTTTTATACTCTCATATCATTTCATGGGGTTTTGGGGTTTTGGGGTTTTGGGGTTTTGGGGTTTGGTTTGATCCATTATA